CCGCCCGTCCGCCCCGGCCCCCAACCTTTCAGAGATGTGCGCCCAAACTTCCGCCCAAACCCACTTGCTGATCACAGAGCGCCACACTGCAATTAAAACTCAATACTGAGTTTTTAGTTTGGGAAAAATAACTCATACATTAACATCTTTTGTCCTTTTGTTTGTTTGGTTGGTTTTTTTGAGACAGGGTCTCACTATGTAGTTGAGACTGACCTGGAACTCACTATGTAGCCCAGACTGATCTGGAACTCACAGCGATCCTCCTGCCTCAGCCTCCCGAGTGCTGGGATTACAGGCGTGCACCACCACGCCGGGCAACATCTTTTGTTTTAAAAACAAGTGACACGCGTGCCCTAGGTTTCCCGCCACTGATAGAAATTTCATTTCTTGTCTCCTATAATGACACAGTCCTACCTGGGGGGGCCTGGGTGTTGACAACCCGGGAACTCCAATATCCTTGCTTTTCCCTGGTTGATCCCCTCGTCCTTCAGTTTTCGGCCTACAGAGACTTCCCTTGCCTGCCACCCTCCCAGCCACCTGCATTACCCAGGCCCTCTTACTCTCTTCCACACCCCCTGGCCTATTTCTTCCCGTCATTTACTTGTCGCATTGCTCAATCGCACAGTTACTTGACTGTGACTTTGTCTAACGTCTGTGTTCACGGCTGGTTGAACGCATTTCCCGCCTCGCAACACCGAACCTGAGCTTGAACAGAGAGTAGGTACAAAAGTGACATACGTGGGGTGGTGAAACTTTGCCCAACTTTCCGATGCCGGGACGCCCAGGCTACAGAGCTACCGTGAACTCTTGGGGATTAGAGACTAACACGTTCTGCTCAGCAGGAGAAATTCAGAGATGCCATTAATTCAGGCCCCACACACACGATTCTTACGAAGACAATCTTGCCCTTTGTCAGAACTGTGGGAGTCTTATTGACACATAGAAAGGAGTCTAAAATTGGTCGCCTTTTGCAAACTGTCAGCTCACGAAATTTAGAATTCCGCTGGCGTGCCCTGAATTTCTGGAACCAACAGTTGATTCTTCTACATTAAAGGATTGTTGTATTTCTGTCACTTTGTTATGCAGAGTGGGTTTGCTGTGAATTTTAAAACTTTAACCAGAATCCTTTTTAACAGAGATCTTTTCTCTATGTGCAACTTCTAGGAGAGACCTGTGGGCGGCCACGTTTCAAGGGACATCCAGGGCCCATTTTGGCCAGCTGTTTTCACACTCCTAATGGTCACAGGGCCATTTACTGACAACACCCAGGCACAGGCTGGATGTTGTTTAATGCGTCGCTGGGTTTCTATCAGGTGATCACAACTATTATTTCCTACACTTTTCAGGTGAGGAGTTGGAGCTGCAGGAGGTGAATCCCCTCCCCGGGTCAGCAGGTAACTCAAGTCTCTCTGATGTCCTGGCCTCGTATCTGGCCTCACCCCTTCCCGCGGGGGCCTCACCTCCCTGAGCATTGAAGCCTGTCAGGCAGGATGAGGCCTTTGAGCTGCCAGTCATCTAAGAGCTAGCTACTCCGTCTCAGGATGGTGCGTCCAGAGAAACTGCAGCGCTGGGAGTGAGGCTCTCCTGGAAAGTGAAAGGCCGAAGGAACAGACCAGTTATGTGTGAGACTAGACTGAGCCACCAGACCACGGCTCCATTTTGGGGGGCATCCACTGGTCCCAGGCCCAGGGAGGGCACCGCAGCCATCCATCAGGAGCAGGGTCTGTCCCCTGTCCAGTATCAGGACCCCCACCATGATATATTTCTGGGAATTCGAGGAGTCTCTCGGGGAGAGTCTAGGTTGGCTACATTGACAGGAGAACCACTGAGGGGGAGATTTCTAAAACTCCTCTCAGGAACTGTCTGAACAACCCAACCCCCGAATTAGCCTGGGTCTTTCCAGCACGTCAGCAATTCCCGCATTTTGGATCACATAAGTTTTATACATGTAATTATGAATACAGCTTTTCCTAACCCAAACCTGCCCCAGACCAGCCTGGTTCCCCAAGCCAGGATGGGTCCCCGGTCAGGATCCAGGCCACTGTTCCCGCTTGCTCTCCACGTCGTGGGCTTCCCATGAAATCCTGGGGTTTCCTAGAAACTGCGAACACATCAGGGACTGGCATCAGGGTTCCCTGAGTCAGGCATCCCTAGGAAAAAACGCTGATGCCAGGTGGACCCCAAGAGCAGACGCGATCATGGGCCCCTTCCTGGCACCTACTTGTTCCGTAGCCATGTGTTTAGGGCTGCTGCTTTGTGCTTACACTGAGGTGGCTCAGGGCTCTCCACAGCACGAAGCAGCGTGTAATACTTGTCTCAAAGAAAAAGAGGAAGACCCATTTATGTTTAAAACAAAACAAAAAGCAACAACAACAGAAAAGAAGTGGCCAGGTGTGATGGTACACGACTGCTTTGGAAAACAGAGGCAAGAGGACTACAAGTTCGAGACCAGACTAGAAAACTTCGTGAGACTCTGCCTCAAAATTAAAAATAATACTCAGTGCTCCCACGCCTGCCTGGCAAGGGCAAAGTCTTGAGTTTGATCCCCAGTACCAAAAACCAAACAAACAAACAAAACAAAACAAATAACTACAATTGAAAGGTCTGGGGCAGCAGGTCAGAGTAGAGCATTTGGTGACTGTGTATGAAGTCCTGGACTCCATCCCTAGTACTGCAAAACAAACAAACAAATCCATCCAGAAAATAATGTGTTGGTGAGCATGAGGAGACACTGGAACTCTCTTGCTGGTGGGAATGTTGTATTAGCTGTACAGTTGCTGGGGCACAATACCTAACACCCACAACTTAGAAAAGGGGAAGTCTTCGGCTAGTGGTTCAGGGGATTTGGCCCATGGTTAGGCAGTGCCAGAGAAAATATCGTCTTGGAAGGGCTTAGTGGAGGAAAGGCGCTCGCCTCATGGAACCCAGGAAGCACAGAGAAAGGAGAGCTGTGGAAAACAATAAGCTTTGTCTTTTCTATCAAACAGGACTGTCTTTATCTTGGGTTCTGGCGCACCCTGAAAAGCCCTTCCTGGACACACCGGTCACAAAGTTTCCTGCTCAGCTCAAATCCTGGGAACACAGCTATAAACCCAAGATAGCTTCTCATGAGCCAAGGACTTTCTATTCTCTACATTTGCCCAGCATCCCTTCCTCCTCAATGACTTCTCTGACTCCTCCCAAGCCGCCTGAGTTAGCCAATCTGGACAGATTGTGAGCTTTCTACTCAGCCAACAGGGAAGAGGTCAGCTACCCGCTTCTGTGGGGAAAAGAACTCACCCTCTTTTGTTATTTGCATGCCTGCTACCTCATACTTGTTTTCTTCTGCAGAAGAAATACTAAAAGTGCCTTGTCAAAATTTCTTGTTCGGTGTCTGAGTACATTCTTTTTGGGCATCAACAAATTGAGTCTAAGGTCTTATTTCCAACAGAGCCAAGGAGGGAGATAGACTGTCCCAGTGACACACCACTTCCAACCAGGCCCCACCTCCTAACAAGACATTGAGATCAATCCGTGGTGAGTACATCACCCATCATCTTCCAACCAAGCCCCCACTCTGAATACATGAGACTTCTGGAGGATGTGTCAGATTTAAATCATAACAGGTGTAAAATAGTGCTGCCATTGTGGAAAACAGTGTGGCAGTTCCTCAAAAAATTAAACATAGGGGCCGGGGATTTAGCTCAGTGGTTCTGCCGCCTGCCTCGCAAGCACAAGGACCCGAGTTCGATCTCCAGTACAAGATAAATAAATAAATAAATGCAGAATCGTCATATGATCTCCAGAAATTTCACTTCTGGGTATACATCTCCTCTCCAAATTGGAAACAGGTCTCTTTAGACACTTGTACAGGTATGTTTATAGCAACACTATCCCAAACAGCTAAGACGACGAAGGAGCCCAAGTGTCCATCAACAGATAAAGTTTGATCTGTCCAGACATTGGAATATTACTCACCCATCAAAAGCAAGGAGATTCTGGGGCTGGGGATATAGCTCAATGGTACAGTGCCTGCCTGGAAAGTGCGAGGCCCTGATTTCGCTTCCTAGGACAAAAGAAAAAGCAAGGGAATTCTGACACGGGCTTCAGCATGGAGGAGCCCTGAGGACATTATGTTGAGTGAAATAAGCCAGTGGAAAACAGTAGCGGATGCTGGGATTTAGCTCAGTGGTTCTGCTGCCTGCCTCGCAAGTGCAAGGTCCCGAGTTTGACCCCGGGTGCAAAAAAAATAAGTGTATGATTCTACTTATGTGAGGTGGTACAAGTGGGCAAAATCACAGAGACAGAAAGTGGGATGGTCACGGGTGCAGAGCTTCAAGAGGAAGAGCTCCAGAGAAGGGTGGTGGTGATGACGGCACAGTATTTTGGATATATTTAATACTGCAAAGCTCCGCACTTTATAATAGTTAAAGGGGTGAACTTTATAGATTCCACATTTAAAACCACACTGGGGTACTGGGAATAGAACCTGGGGCCTTCACACGGAGCCTTTTTTTCATTCTACTTTTGACACAGGGTCTTGCTAAGTCACTAAATTGCTCAGCCTGGGCTTGAACTTGCAACTGTCCTGCCTCAGCTTCCCAGAGAGCTGGGATTACAGGTGCACCACCACATCCAGCTACATAATGCTTTTCTCAAAAAAAAAAATTTTTTTTAAAGGTAATCTGACATATCCTGTAACGGATTTCTTTTTTTTTTTTTT